CTGATCATTAATGGCCATCAAACACTCTGGCTTGTGTCCAGCTTGCTAAACAGAATGGTGTCATGGCAATAAGATGAAGGGCCCTGCGCCGACGCAGGCAGAAAGCCAAAGTTCCCATGTAGATTTCCCTGCCTCTCCACCCTCTCAGGTTATATTAAGCATGACCTGCCCTGTCTCTGATTTGGACTACCTTATGGGTAATGCAGAACAAACAACACAACGCATGCCGTCGGTGAGACGTTTGGAGGGGTGAGATAACCAGCTCAAAGAAACCCTGCAACGTAAAGTATCAACAGGGGTCATATATCCAGAAACTTGACTATCAGGTCTTTGCCAAACAGCAGTGAAAGAACAAGTTAGAATATCTGAAATGCATTACTCTCTGAATGATGTTGAGACTGATCCCAGAATAACAGGCTTATTTGTATGAATAGAAATGAGCTAGTCTGAATGCTGTATCACAGAGCCATGAATCAGCGAGCCTAAGTCTCTGAAGCGCTTATAGCATTGTGCTTATAGACTGTGTGAAACAGACAGTGATCTTAAAATCTAATGGTACTTTGGTTTTATCTTTCTGAATCAAGGAAAGGCTTTTGTGTTCTCCCTTTTGTCCCAGACTCAGCCCAGTCTTATTACATGATTTGGCCACAGTCATGTTTTGCAATGCTAAGTCTGTTTGCTCTTGAACACAGGGTGAAATGTGACATTGCATACCTAATCTTTTCTTGAATATGTTACTTTTGGATATACTGCCCTTCGTCTGATTTTTTTCAGGCAAGTTCTGCATGATTATAATGGAATTATTTTTGAGATTATTAGGTCTACAACTTCTAATACATTGGTATTTAAAACACAAGCCTCTAGAATTTTCCACCCTTATGACTACACTATTTCCAAGAAAAGGACCTTGTCAACTGGAAGCATGATATAAAGGGAGCTTTTTTATTTGCATAGAGATTGTTTGATAGCAAAGTCTCCAAGGCTTCTCTTTGAACTCAAGTATGCAAATTTAATAAAATTAAACAAAATACCCTAAAGATGACAGAAAATCCTGGTAGTTGAGACAGGTTTAAAAATTGGTTTCCTCTTCCCTTACCTTGACACTGGGCAGAATTTTTAAGCATATTTAACTTGTGGGTTAGGTTGTCATTTCATAAACTCAGTTATTACTCAGTATCCTTTCTTTAAACAGATTTGTCTATTTTAATTCGTGGCATGTGCTGTCTCTGTGGGACTCTACGCAAAAACTGTACAGTCATTTATCTTTGTTATTTTCTGCAGGATTTGGAAGGAGTAATCATATTAGCTCAGCAGATTTAAAAATAATAATAGTTCTAAAACACCCTGCATAAGCTGTTAATTGGAATAATATGCGCTAAAGATAAACCAGGCTTTTTTTTCATGGATCCCAGTCTCTCAGCAAACTGAATAAGAAACTGTGGCTCTTGCATCCATTTCATTTCTCCTTCATAAGTATAATATTAAAATAAAAAAAAATCACTTTAATTGTACTCTAATCAAAGTTATTATTCAGCACCACCTCTTATTTTCCTAATTAAACAGGCCAAGCGTAATTTCCTTCCCAGATGCTTTTAAACAATCTTGACCTTTCCCTTTGCTGTCCCATTTTTAAAAAATAATGTCCAGTTGTGTGTGCATATGCAAAAATGAAGAATATCAATCTTGAACCTTTGTGTCGATCTGAAGTAAGGTCTTGCCAAATTTTCCTGTGCCAATGTTACTTTAATTTACATAACAGATGCTATACTAGATGCCATACTGCTGTTGTTCAGTTCAATGTTTCCAAAAACAGAAGGTCAAGATCTGTACACAACGTAATAAGCATTTTTGTCTGCCTATTATTATTTGCACAATTACTGTGACTGCTTGGGGAAATCTATGTTCAGCTGAGTATCTAGTCATTACCTTGGACAATGATCTGATTTCAGGAATATTTTGGCACAGAGATAATTCGTCTTTTCTTCTCCCATTTGCCTCATCTTTTAAAATGACACATCTTATGATAGTGTAACGAAATATAGAAAAAGTACCTTTATCTGAACACAGAAAGGCATGGTTTATTAAAAAGAACAAGAACAGGTTAATCTTAAAGAAATTTTTGGTCTGGAAGCTAAGCCTATTAAGGAAGGTGGTAATTGAGACATGCATTCACAATCTTTCCAGTCTATATTACATTTTAAAGAATGAAAATTAGAGATTAACCTGAAACATTTTGTATTTCTTATCAGTATGATTTTATGTAAGTTTTAAAGAGAATTTTAGTTTCCTTAGCAGAAATGAAAAAGCTTTTATAGTCAGAGGTACACAAAATTTCCAAGTATGTGGAAATATTTAGTTCTAGTCCCCTCTGCATGGGCAACTTTGGGCAAAACGAAAAGCTGATAAAATGAAATAGAAGCTGAATTGTAAAATCAAAAAATTGAGTTCCATCAAATATGATTTCTACTATTTCTCAAAAAAATATAACAAACTCTTTTTCTGCATTGTTATCAGAAAAAAGACCACCTCAGAATTTTAAAATTAAATACTATGTTTCCACTATGTACTGGTGTTTACTAAAAATATAGAACAATAAGCTAGTAAAATGAAATTCATCTGGGTTCTGTAGGGTATCCTCTCATATTACAGCTATAATAATAGCAGTGGAACAATAACGCTTGTAGGCAAGATCCCTACTCTTGACAAATTATTCCACATTCTTGATTTATACCGGATTTATCCCCAGTTTGAGATTTCAATGAGGAAATGGCTGAGTTCTTCTGGTACAGAAATTGGGGCTGAGCTTTTCATGATTGTCTTACCTACATGAAAAATGACATTTAAACTAACACGCATATATGTTTTAACATAAAACTTATTTTGTTCAAGTTCCCCTGCATCCTGCAGTTCCATTAGGGTCCCCTTCATCACTTTATTGTTCTTCTTCTCTGTAGTCACTGTGAAACAATAGTAAACTCTAGTTGGGTGATGGGGAGCGCTGATATTCCAGCTGAAAGGAGGAGTGATGATGCATGGGAAACAGTAATGGAGATGCTTTTGGCCCTCTACATACTTGTTACATTGTTCTAAGAGCACTTCAATAACTATTGTAATAATGATAAAGCAGAGTTCTCTGAGGCAGAATCTATCAGTGTCCCTACATGTGCTTAACTGCTAAGCCCCTGGAATTTTTTGCAGGGTAAAGTTACGAACATGCTTGAGTATTTTGTTATGGTAGGCTTCACATATTACGTAATGTATAACAAGAAAAAGCATAAATCTGCAGCTCCACACGGAATGGCCATCATATGACCAAGTGAAAGGAAGGCAGTGGCCCATGGCTGCATGGTTAGCAAAGAATTCAGAGAACGGAGTTTGAGAGGCATATCTTTAACATCATGTAGCAGAGGAAGCACACAGTCCCTGTTGTTAGTTTAGTATTTCAGTAATCACTCTTCATAACTTACTTGCTAGGTAGTAGAACATGTATTATCATCCATATTTGGGGCAGTGAAGACAGAGGTGAATGTAAGAAATTTATGCAACTTTACCGTGGAAACCAAAATAAGCCAAGGATGCAGATGTGATTAGATGCGAGTTCACACCTCCTAGGCTTGTGCTGCTAGGCAATGTTTGTAGTGATACTGGGTATCAATTTTATGATGCATTTATTTACAACTTACAGTCAAGTATACTGTATGCTGCACTGTGCATACAGACTGTCGGTTTGACCAAGTGCTCTAGTAACTTTGTCTATTACCCCTCTGCACCCATTGTCCCTGTTTGCTGTTATGACTGCTTTTTATGGTATAACAAATTAATACAGTCTCTCAGTGGCAGACACTGTCTTTTACACATGGCACAAATCATCGAGGCTGAATGTTAGCTATAGTTAGCTAAAATCAGTTTTGGCATACCTGGTTAAAACACTTATTGACTTCAATAATAGCTGCACTTTCTGATCTTGCTGCAGTGTTACCATGTTCCAGTAATTACATTCCGGTTCCACTTTGGTCCAACAGTTTCAGTCTCTTTAAATAAATGTTTTGTATTAGTCTCCTCTGTTCTGCTCCTAGAACTACCCATCACTGAACTAGCAAGTCTCCTGTTGCATTCAAAATAATGCTCAGACCTTCAAGGGCAAAGCTTTAAAATCCTTTCCACCAGTCCCATATAGTGGAAAGAAGTGTGAGTGCTGGAAAATGAGAAATTCCCTGATCTATTTAACAGGCAGGAGGGTAAAAGGAAGAACTGAAAACTGGCCTCTGACATCAAAAGTTCCTCTAACTACTCGTTTCCTTCTGTGGTCTTATTTGTTTGACAGTAACATATTAAAGAAAACTGAAAAGGTCTTGGATTTTTTCATATAGGGGCATTTGGGATTTTGTGCATTGTGTTATTGAAGATCTCTGGGCTATGTCACACCAAAAATGTAATAGCACAGACTTGTAGAGAAATATATATGTAAGTTATAAATAGGGTGTAAGTTCTCTGACACCAGACATAAATGTTAAAAGAAACATTTAGCCCCTAACTCCCTATTAAAATCATCAAACTTCCATTAAGAAACCAAGCAAAACAAAGAAATGAAATAAAGGAAGATAGAAGGAAAAACACTCGAGGCTTTTGCTTTAAAATTTCACTGCAATTCAGATTTGATGACTTGGCACTGCTGTGCAAAGTAGCATTTTTCAGCCTTATTTTTTCTTGCAGAATTACATCATTACCTCAGAGCAGTTTTAAAGGACGCTGAGGATGATGTATTCCAGTTGAAAATGAACAGAGCTGATACTTCAGGAAGAACTGACTGTCAGGTCAGTTCCTTCCACTTTCCTTCCACTATAGAAGGAAAATGCATTTTTTTGTTTTACATGAGAAAGTTTTTCTTCTCTCCTTCAAAATCCCTTCCTCTTCCCAATGCTATGCATGCACCAGGCACGTGTAACCTTACACTTGCACACAAGAGCAGGTCCAGTAGATGCACTTTGATGCCAACCTACCATTCTGATGCCATTCTCGAAAGCCTGACGCGCTAGAGAAGCAGGTCCATCCACAGTCTTACCGTCGTCATCAGGCCCCCAGCTGGCACTGTAGATGTGGATATGCTGGGGATTAAGGCTTAGAGACTTTGCTTCTACCATGTCTGTCACATCTCCATCCAGCATCCGTACACCTTCAGAATGAAAGATACAATAAACAGGACCGACCAACTCAAAATGCTTCTTTCCCCGCCTCTCCCGAGAAAATTATTGTGTAGGACATTGGACTGAATGACCATAAGGATTCCTACTGTTGGTAAAAAAGACCCCAAAAGCGTGTTTTTCCAATGGAAAAAAATCTCTAGATGAAAAAATACAAACCGGAAGGAATATTTTAGTTTTTCTTCAAGTTTTAAAAATTTTCTACAAGTCATTTATCCACCATACAGCTTTCAATTGTCAGCAACAAACTTTTACACTAAAGAAAACTTAAAAAAATACTTGAATCTTGAAATGTTTGTATGTCTCACTTGAAGATAATATATGATTTTCTTCCTCCTTTTATACTGCAGTGAAACTGCAGCATCTACTTTGAGTCATTCCCAGTTCTAAGTATGTTGACAGACATAATAAAAGGTTCTCTGCTGACAGATAAACATGGGATTATTCCTTCATTGTCAGGCCACAAAGAAGAAAATGGGGAGAAAACTCCTGTGTGCAGACCAATTACCATATACAGTAGCAAGACGATTATGGGAAGTTACTATCAAATACCCTATATGTAGCATTATACAACCTGAAACTACAATTTTGTGAACATCCTTCTCTGTGCAGAAAAAGCTTTTGTAAGGTATAATCTGAAAATCTTGTGTTAAAAGAATCCATTCATGTGGGATTGGACAAGTCAGTGTGTCAGCCCTTCTAAAGTGAATGGCATCATGATGTTTTAAGGTCACCAGACTGAATAAGGTAGGCTTAAATCTGGAAACTGAGAAAATCCTAAAGTTGTTCTTCTGACTAAGGCTTAAACTGAAGTTAATTCTGACTGATAAAACCACCAATGCCAGTTTTAACCTAAACAAGAAACAGGACCTACGTACAGCTAGCATGACATCTGATCAAAGGGATGTTAAATATTAAATAATAATTAGCATGTAACTGTACAATAGTACTGAATAAAGATTACTTCCACAATTAACAAGTTTGACGCTCTTTCCCCTTTGAAAGGCCACTGCTATTTATAAGCCAAATTTACATATTTTTAATTACAGACACATTTCATTTTGCTCATGAGCTCCAACTGAAGTAACTTGAGTGTTTACCAAGACCTTAACTTCCAATTAACAAAAGGCATGAGGGGTGCTTTGTTGACAGAGGGTCTTTTTTTTTTTCCTTACTCTAATTGACTCAAAAATGAAAAGTGATCATATTTCTAAGTTCACACAAAAGCTGCCCATGTTTTGTGAGATAATAAACTTTTACAAACAGTGATCTCACTATGAACTTTACTTTATAAAAAAAGTCGTTAAACCAACTCTGGGATTCTCAGGTTTTATTTTTCTTCCTCAGTGTAATCTCAGAAAATTAACGATGGGTGGAAGTTGTGTTCTCAATTTCTTTCAAGCACATTAAAATATATTTAGTTCTAAATAAAGACAATAAAAGGTATACTGCTTTTGAAAGAATGAAAATAAAGGTTCCCTTTATATCGCTGTTACTGCGTAGCAAGCCTAAATAACACTGCATGCACCCAGTGAACGATAACTCCAAATTCTGCCATTGGCACCTGAAGTAATTAACACCGTTTTTTTTCTTAATGGTGAAGTGGTCTAATCTAAAGCAACATGGACAACGCTGTGACTTAGCTGCTGGTCTCTCTGGCCAACAACTGACAGACATGCTTCAAGGGCGACTTTGAACAACCGACATCTCATTGGCTATTTAAACCAAAAATAATGAATTCCTTCCATCCTTCCTCCTTTTTTTCCTTCCACCCTTCCCCTCTTCCTCCCTTTTTTCCTTCCACCCTTCCTCCCTTCCTCCCTTTTTTCCTTCCTCCCACCCCAGCCCCACCAAACGTCTGGAGTAGTTAATTCTGCCAATCACAAAACCTCCAAACTGCATTTGGCATCTGGTGATAGCCCAACAAAAGCTGTCCAAAAGGCAATTAACAGACTGCAGTTTGCAGACTGTTCCACCTAGACTTTAGAGCACTGTAAACTTTTTCCAATATTTGCAGTAATTGCCAAAATGCTAAGTGGCATTTTAGTCAGAGCAAACTTTCAACAAATCACAGGAAACATGCAAAACTGAGCTGAAAGAAAGTTTTCTTTTAAAATGTTTGTTTTCAATCAGCATCTGACTTAAACAGCTGAACTAATTCCTCGTCAGCTGAAGACAATCTACATCTGTTGTGCCATAATTCAGAGTAACTGTTTTCCTGTCAGGATTTGAGCCCAGCCAAGTAACTAAGCACCCAAATCCCCAGAGTTGCTTTGCAACTTCCACAGTCAGCCTGCAACAATAACAACACGTTAACCATCCCCTTCTACAAAGGGGCTCACAAGCTCCGCAGGTGGTAATTTGCCATGTGTGATTACTGCAGAGAGTCACATTTAAAAAAAGATGTACCCCTTTGGTGCACTGGTTTGTCTTTTGGTGAAAGGGCCTGTAGCTTAGCTAAGCACAAACTGCAGGAACAGAGCATCGTTTTTTATAAGAAACATCCCACAACCTGTAAAAGAACTCAAGGTCCAGATTGCAATATTACTCACATTTTCTGATCTGGTGATTACATCCCCACTTACACTGTTGTAAAAGAAGGCTCAGACATTCTAAGGATCTTATTTTTGGCCTATTTGTGGTCAGAGGTTCTTAAATGTGTGGAAATGAGACAAGGAGTACAAATATATTTAAAAAAAAAAAAGTGGATATTGTGTTAACGACTTCCCATCGCAAAGATCATTAATCGGATTTGTTCAGCTGCCAGTATTTGATGGAATATCAATGGAAAGGATTTCTTTTCCCTTTTTCTGTCTCCTTACTATCCCTTACGTGTCCAGAGATGCTTTTTTTGGTTTGAAGTAAAGAATGCTTACGTTGGTGGAGCAAACTCAACATCGCTGTCAGCAGGTGCTCCTCTATGTAAGGAGAACGTGATTACTTTACCTCGACTCTAGTTTCTTCTCCAAGAAGGCCCCAGGAGGGTCTTTAAATCCCTGGGAAACAAGCTAGCTGAACACTTGTTCAGCATAATATGATTCAACATTTTTACACTCTATCTGGCCTGTGGAGAGGGAACACAACCACTGCATATTCACATGTGCAGCTTACGGCTTTTCTGAGGGAAGGGAGGGAGGCATGCCAAATAAAGGTCAGCAGCAGCAAAACTCTTAAATATATACACCTCGAGGAAGAGGAAGCTTAACCTCCCTTCCCACTGCCCTGGAATCCCCTCCTGCCTCTGATTTTGTGTGCATTATTTGCTGAGCCTCCTGAAGTCTCATTTTCAAGTGCCAGTGCTTTTAAAAGGTGGTACATTATCTCAGGTGAGGTTTACACACTGTTACTACTTTCCAGCTTTCTTTTAAGACCAGTGTTAGTGATGAGTCTGCAGAATCATGGTGACAAACGGAGTGGATGAAATTTTTATTTCACTTAGACCAGTGAAATTTCTTGAATGCTGTTATATTTTTTTTGCTAAATAAATAAGAAGGCACACATATCCAGTCTTTACTGTTCACATTAACTGCATTCATACTATGTCCATCTGAATCAGTTTTTACACTATGTTTAGAAAAGGCTGTGATTCAGCTAATATGCCTGGAGGGTTTCTAAAACATTATTACTGCACATTCCTAATGCTTAATGAATAATAACCTATTAAGAAGCCACTGTTACTGATGGAGAACTTTTCAAGGATATGCCCAAGCTGTTGCAGGTTGTGTAACCATCGAACTCACCAATGAAACTTCCTCAGAAGCCATCTTTTATCTCTATCAGTGCACTAATTCTCCTCTCATTCTGGTTTGACAACACAATAAATCTGATTTCATAGCTACTGGTACATGACCAAATGCCATGTCCACATGAGACAACCTGTTCATCTGCCACAAACTCACTCACTTGGCCAGTTCAGATTTTGTAAACCACTTTGACAGGTTAATTTTGTGCAGGCAGGCTCTTCACCTGAAGGGAAATTGTTTTTCTGCATCACTCTAACCTTATGCTGGATCTGGTATTTACTATCCTTTTGAAGCCAGCAGGGAAACAGAAAGCTGACATTAAGATGACGTTGTGTGCTTTGGCTAATTTGAAATACAGCTGTGCTCACATTTGATTTGGATCAAACTTGTACTGATCCAGTAGAGAACAGATACAGTACTATTAATTGTGGAAATATGGCCTTAGCTCTTCCTGCTCATATTTTTGAACTGTCCTCTGGTGTATATATATGTAAACATGTTTCTGTTTTCACAGATGGGCTCTATTTTGGGACAGAAAAGCAACAATTAATGAGTTTGAGCTATAGGTCTTTCTACTGAAAGCCAATATACCAATCCCATGATTTCATCAAAAGGACAGGGTAAAACTTCACTTTAAGCATTAAAATCTGGCACAGGCTGGGTACAGCCTAAGAGGCATGTAAATGACATCTTGATGGTAATCTCCACAAATTAAGCCAGAGGTCTTAATGGAGCAGCCATGGACTAAGATCTCATAGAAACCACTTGGAACCTCTTGGCTGAATGAAAAACAAAGTGCAATAGAATCTCATATTTCAGGCAATAATCCGATCACACAGAGGATCAAAAGATTTTCTACAACCACAGCAAAACAACACAAAAATGTTATGTTTTGACAGTGTTTTGTCTGGGATCAATACGCAAGGCAATATTCCTGATGCGTACATTTAATTCATCGTTTAGAGCTCTGAATCTGTGAGAAAACCCACATGTCCTAATTCTGGGTTTTGTGTTTTCATCAAAGGTCTCACTTTCTATTTTTCTGTGTGTACTGAGAGGCAGTGTTCCAGGGAGCACTGGAGAAGTGTCACCGCAGACAAACTCCTTCAGTACTGGTATTTAACAACCACTCTACCACTGAGATTTACTTGCTAACACAGCTAGGTTTGTTATCCATACAAATCTCCCTCTCTTGTTGAGAAGGGTCTGAATGCACCATTTAGCACAAATGGCTCTTTGGTTACTTTTTTTTGGGGTGGGAGATTGTTTCACATACCTCCAATCTTGGCATTAAAGGCGATTCCTACTGTGCAGTGTGAGTTGTTTGCCGTGGCTGCCACTTCTCCGGCACAACGGGTTCCATGCCTGCAGTCAGACAAACATTTTTCCAAGTAAGCACAGACTGTTGGGAATAAAGGCTTTGACTTTGCTCATCATCAGGTGCTAAAAGCACAACTATCCACAATATCTTGCACTACTTAATCCCTCATAGTTATTTGTACCCACGTTACAATATTCCTCTGAACACATTTTTACATCATTATCACAGTTGTATTAAACTTCGTGGTAGGCTTTCCAGCTACAGGAAATAGGCACAGTTTGTAACAACAACAGAGAATGATGATACATAACCCACAGCAACAGAAAGAAGTCTTGGATACCAGTTCTTGATTTTTGAACCACATCTTACATTACAGACAGCATTTTTATCCTGCACTCTCCCACAACCACTCATGTTGCTAGTATGTAGATCTCCACACAACCTCCAGCAGGCACAGCGTGTACCACGCTTTTTCCATGAGGAAGATGAGATTGTGCCAATGCCCACATTGCTGTTTAGAGGCAAGCCTAAGACTGCCTATGTGCCAGGTATGCTCTAAGCTTCTATATAGGCTGGTCCTGGTCATGCGTTGGACCAACCCTGCAAATCTGCCGCTTTTTCGGGAGCAGAAAAAACAGCTGAAGTACCCTCCACATCAGAGGTATACTCTGTGCCTGCAGGCAGAGCTGGGCTGCAAGCGTATAATCTTAAGAAGCTGCTGAAGGAAAATACAAAACCTCCAGTGGTTGCTCATCCCCCTCCGCACTGTGGGATGCCTTGCCTAGCCCTCGTCCATGCTCTCTACAAGGTGACAGTGGTCATCCATACAGCCACCCTGCTTCTTGTGATTTTTGCCTGCAATATAGGTTTCACAGGGTGTTTTCTACCAGTAAGTTTTGCCCTCATCCTCGAGCAGTTAAGCAGCTCCATCACAGAAATGTGACACAAGCAACAGGGAGCAGACAGGGAACTTTACAGAGCTGCTGTGGAGAGGAGATACAGAGTTTCAGACCAGACAGGAAAAGAGATGGGGAGTTGATGAGACGGAGATAGAAAGATAATGTAAGGCTTGGGTAGCCACAAAGAAAGAAGTTTAAAAAGTCAAGGCAAAAAATAGATAACAACATGGCAAGCACTTCAGAGGAGGCTAAGTGAGGTCAGTTGTGTACACAGGCACTCTTCTGCTGGTAGTGGTTGACAGACTGCTTACACAGACATCTGGAGAACACAAGTGTTTTTGAATTAAAGTTGACGCCCATATTACAGACAAGAATCACAGTTGCTTTCTCTTGGTACAGCTTGTTTTGGGTAGAGTCACTCCCTATTTCCTTGTTATTAGTGCAACTTTTTGCCCTTAACCTTTTGAGACACTTAGATGAGAAACCCTAAGATAACTTGTTTGGAATGGACTGCTGTAAAACAAGAACAACAACAAATAGGAGTAAGAAAAAAAGACAGGAACTAAAAAATTAAGCAGCATTATATAATAAGTATTAATATAAGCAATATTACATAATAAAAACAGTGATCAATGCTGACCTGTTAGAATTTCAAAGGAGATCATTCAGTTTATCAGATAAGTAAGATAAATACAATCTATAAGAAAAGCGTAACCTTTATTCACAAAATCAAATTGACAGGTAGGATGCTGATAAATCCTAAAGCTGGATCAAGGTTTCACAATTATATGCATATCTGAACTAATTTCCTATTAAGCTGTTCACAATTCATCACTGGGTTGCCAAACTTGATCAGAGAATTTTTCATGGCTGAATTTGAAGTTTACTTTTCATATGAAGCCTAATTTTCAATCCTATTTTTCATTTGAAGAAAGCCTGTTGAGGTCTAATTGATAAACCAATGTTTTATCTTATTACAGAATTATTTTGAAAAGCCTGAAGTAAATAATTCAGGAATCACAGATGAAAACAAGTTTTAAAAAGATCCTTTTCATTTTCAAGTATTTTCAAATAGTGTTCTAGCTCTGTGTTTGTTTGAAGAAGTGTCTTTTTAAAATGTATTAATATTTATAGGAAAATGTCTGTCTTAAGAATTATTTACAAGACACACGATTCCCAGACTTCCCTTCTTTTCATTACAATTATGTTAGGTGCCACATGTAAGTTTAGAGGTATTATCACTCAAACATCAAAGCACGGACGACTATACTCTAGAAATGTAGAAATACACGCACACATCACATCACAGTGCATATGATTTATTAACAAATCACTGCCTGCCTGGTGAAAGGCATGTGGCCAAGCCGCAGCTTCCCAGAGGGAGGCTGCATTGGCAAGAATCCCCTCCTGGGTACCAGTTTTTGGAGGCAGTGATGGGGGAAAGTTTTTCAGCAGGGAAAGGGGACAGATGGAAGCCACACCTGGAGGAGGGAGGCTGCCTGAAGAAGAATGGAAGAAACAGCTCAAGTTTCTCCACAGTTCCCAGTGGAGCATATGGATACCTGCTACTTTGTTAGATACATCTACCGAGCACCATCAAAAGGGTTAGATTTCCACCGGATCACCAAACACACCCCAGTCCCCCAGGACCATGTAATGTTTGTAGAGGGGAAACAGAGGGGTGCGTGGGGGTCACAGCGTGACTGCACCTCCCAGCAGCAACCCACAGTACCACGGGATTAACAGCAACACGAAAATGTAGCCTGAAGTCCAGCTGATGTGGAAGTAGCTGCTGTGGTCGATGTTAACCTCCCTAAGAAGTACACAAGGCTTTGAAGGACTGGTATGGAAGTATCATGACGCATATTTATTGAATTAAAACACAATAAGAAATTTCATGTAAATTTCTCCTAGGAAAAAAGCGTATTTCAGAGAGAATTAGATCTTCAGACAGTTTTACAACACGTGGGTTAAATCAGCTTTGCTGGATAGCTTTGCTGGATACTTCATTAGTCCTCACGTATTGGAAAATCCTTCTTTTTATCATATTTTAAGTCCATTAATGGCATGAATTTATTTTGTAAGCAGGTTTTTATGTTGGACCCTTGCTTCTCGGCCAAGATTACTCTTAATTGCATTCTACATTTATAGTGGAAATCACAACATTAAAAGTTGTTTTATCCATTTCAAGGTCATATGTAAAAAATCACAGTTCTTACAATCAGTTTCCCACTGTGTGAATTAATCATACATGCAACTCAATTTGTTTTAATATGTTATCTTTTATGGGTCCTTTAAGTAATATTTCAATTATTCTGTGAAAGAGAAATCTGCATATAAAAATTATGTTCTTTCCATACTGCTTTTAATTTTCTCTGTCCTAGATTTTTGCTTGAGGTCTACAGTTTGGAACAGACTCTGAATTCTGCAGTTAAAATTGGAAAAGCCTTCTGATTAATCATTACACTAATTTCTTAACTACCTTGATAAACAAATATGATGAAACTGATGCCTGAAATTGATTGTCTGCTTTAAAGCTATGAAAACTTCTACTGAGCATGAAATCGTGAAAACTTCAAACAGTTTATGGAGGCAGCATAACCAGTAACAAGAGGTGAAACAAGAGGCGCGTTCAAGTTATCATTTTTTTGTGAATGTATATATATCAAAACACAACAATCTCCTCTCTTTGTGGGATGGCGGCATCACATACAACTTGTTTAAAAAGTTGATGCAGTCCTAGGAGAAAGCATGACTGCCCTTCTACAAAGGCCTATCTTGATAAACTTTAAGGGTCGATGCTTCATTTCGCTGGATCCTTTGCCAGCTTATGTTGAAGGGAAGTAAGTTCCCAGGCTATTAAATGGCACTTTGAAGAGACACTCAGCTAAAAGGTTTTGCATTTGTCCTTTGTGTTAATGTCAGGGTGATGTAGTATCACAGAATAGCAACATGAAAGAAAGCTTGATTATGAGACATTCTGCCCATCTACAAACGTGTCTCCTACCTGGAGTCTAATAGAAAGAAAAGGAATGGAAAAAAATAAAGCTTTTTTGTTGTTGTTTGTCTCATAAGGAGAGGCATGAAAAATTGCTATTCAAAGACAGAGCTCAAAGGCCATCAGGTACTAGAAACAAGATGTCACAGGCATTATCTTCAAAAAAAGTTGTACTCAGTTGCTGATAAGAGTTGGCCAGCACTTGCCACCATGAAACCATCTTTTATGATTCTGCCTAGCTTTAACTCCTTTAGCAAATTTTTCCATTCCAGGCAAATACCTACAACTTTTTCAGAAACGTATTTATTTTCATTTTTGTATATGAGAGAAACAGAACACAAAGAAGAAAGAAAGTAGCAGGCAATTAAGATTGATTTTCTTCTCTTTTTATAAGGAGGAGATTCATCAGTCTGTCATTAACAATAAGTCAGTAAGGTGTCAAAGACGTACTCAGGAAGACCATAGTAAACATTTTTTTGCCTTACGATGCCCTCACTATTATACGGAGAACTTGAAATAAATTGTTGAAGAAATACACTTCTCTGGAAAGGTGTATTTTACTTTTTTCTGCTGCGTGCATGAACAGTGCTTGAGCGCCTGGATGCTAAAAGTACAGTTTTTTGATGGCTCTCTAAGTATAAGATAAGAGAAATGTAAGTGCTACACACTAATCAGTTACACAAAGTAACTTTTTTCAGTAACAGATTTTTTCTGAGACAGAAATGGCTCAGTATTTCAGGCAATGATGGAAAGAGAAAAGGTGCATATTCTGTGATTAACCATCACTCCCCATCCCACCAACAAAATTTAAACATAAGACGTTTATCTTTCAAAAATCACTCTTAATTTGCCTTTCAGAAGAGGAAGAACATATGAGGCACTAGGAACATCTTTAAGATAAAATTAATTAAGCTCCCCTCTGAGTGTTTAGAGTAAGGAAATATTCAGGGTTAGTGAAGACAGCTGCTGGTGATTTCACAAGCCCTTGCCATGTAAATTGGGTCTGCATTTCAGAGCCTCCGTCTTTGACAGCTATTCTTTGAATTCCACAGACACTCTGACTGTGCATTTCTTTGCTGTATTTAACTCTTCTGGAGTTCATCAAGTATTTCAGAACACAAAAAGCTCAGGGGACTGGAGGATTTAA